TTCCTTCCTTCCTTCCTTCCTTCCTTCCTTCCTTCCTTCCTTCCTTCCTTCCTTCCCTCATTCTTTCCCTCATTCTTTCCCTTCCTTCCTTCCCCCCTTTCCCTCCTTCTTTCCCTTCCTTCCCTTCCTTTCCTCCCTTCCTCCCTCCCTCCATCCTTTCCCAAGGCACACACCACCAACCACACACAGATGAGCCGGCGCTCAGCCTGTTTCCCCTCACACAATAAGGAAGCGTACAAAGGAGGGGATTTCTCTTCGTGGAGATCTCTCCTTCCTTTCCCCTCAGCCCTGGGAAGGTGGAAGGGAAAGGTCCGACCCCTCTCCCCTCCCTCTGCTTCGCTCCTGGTGGCATTTCTTATTTTAAAGCTCACCCTGGAAGAACATGTGTACTTGGAGTTATTTTTACCCCCCCCTCCCCAAAAAAACGGAATATTGCCTTTTATACACGTTTTGTTTCTATGATCCAATTATGCTGTCATAAATTTGGGCGTATATAGCCTCTAAGCCTTTTAGTGGACAGTTTTACGAGCAATTGATGCCTTAGTCGTAAAATTTACGACCTCAGGTTTTTTATTATTTGCCCCGCATGGCCTATAAAAACCGAGGCAAAATCCTGTGAAACAAAATCAAGAAGTGAAAGTTTTACCATGGCTCATGTGTAGTTTGGTCATCCACGGGTATATTTGTGGAGGTGGCCGTTGCTGCTGCACTTGCGCTCCTCCTTGTTGTGCTGTTTGCACGGGCTCGGCTTTGATTTCTGCCGAGCCTTTCGATCTCTCTTCCAACGTCGCCGCGTTCGCCGTCTTCTGACTGTAAATTCCCGTGTTTAAAGGTGGGGGTTCGTTTAAAAGATGGCCCGACGAACCCATGACCGTGCAGGAAGGTCGATCGGGGTGAGCGCGGGGGTTTGCAGACATATCCAAGCCGCCCTCGGGGTTGGAAGCCCCGGAGGAGGGGAAGGTGATGCTCAGATCCACGCCGCTGTAGCAGCACCTGGATGGCTGAACCTCAGGCACACTTCCATAATTTCCATAACTTTGCATGGCATAGGCAGCAACGTGGGGACTTTGCTTATAAAACGAATTGGCGACGTAAGAACTCATGGCGGAGGAGGGGGAGAGGGGGGACAAAAATAATAATAAT